CTCTGGAGGTAGAATCCAGAGTGAATCCATTGAAATTGTACTCAGAAGATTTGAACAAGATCCACAGACCTGTGGCTTCTAGCAGAGCTCAAGCAGGAAGCCGGTGTCACCCACAAAGGCACTTGGGGACAGGATTCGATGTGAATAGAAGAGTCTGGGATGTCAGGGAGGAGGCAGAAGGAAGAGCAGAAGGGCAGTAAAGTTCCACATTGAAGCAACAGGAAGGGAGCTTCTAGGGGCTCTGAATGTACACTGCTCCAGGCTCCTCAGTGACCCAGCAGCTGTGCAGGTCACATGAGCGCCGTTCGCATGCTCCTCACAGAACTAAGCCAGGAAGCCAGTCAGAAAACAGGTGGAGGTGACAGATCAGGACTGGGGCCTCTGCTGATATGAAGAGAATATTCTTGTTTTCATGTTGGGTTTGGTTAGTCACAAAGTAGAGACTGTGGCTGAAGCCCATCTTAATGAAATACTTCAAACTTCATCTCTATCTTTCTCTATGCAGCCAGGATATGCATATACAAAATTGTAAGTTTGCCCCAGTTCCTAAGTCAGAAAATCAAACAATCATTTTTAATTAAAAACAAGATACCTTCTTTTAAACTTTTGTTTTTGAAGTTTGTATTGGATCATTACTGTACTTAACTGTGCAAACCATATGAGCTCTCTCTGGCTTAGTCTCCTTCTCTATAAAATAAGGAGCACAGAAGCATCTTCAAAAGGTTGCTGGCCAGGTTACAAGCATCTCCACATGAACAACGGCAAGGACGGTGCCTGCATGGTCTGGCCTGCCAGTCTTTAATTCTTGCCGTCAATGTACCCAGAGACTCTCGAAGGTTCCCTGCAGTGTGTGGCAGTAAGTGTTCATACTTTGCAAAGAAATTTAAATCTAGAAACATCCAGAGGGAAGTGGTCTCCGTTCTAGAGCAGCCACTAGATCTGTTTCTCAGACAGAGTCACGCTGTGGAGCCCTAGCTGGCCTGGAACTTCGTTATGTAGACCAGGCTGGCCTCAAACTCATAGAGATTTATCTCTGCTGCTACCTCCCGAGTGCTGGGATTAGAAGTGTGCTCCCACACACCTGGCCTCGCCTTATTTGATTTTAATACTTTTGGAGAAGTAGGCTACTGCTATGGATTAGCCCAATCCGTGTTGAGAATTAACCAACAAGAGGTTTAGACTTTTCAATAATTTAACCTATCAGAAGTGAAGATGAAGAGTCTCATTGTAAGAAAGCTACGTGGAAAGCTGTGTTTTAGTTAGATAAGCCTTCTAAGGGCTCTCTATCACAGCGCAGGAATCAACAGTCACAAGATTTGTGCAAACAGGCAGCTTCCCTCTTTGAGATGGTATTGCCAGATGGAAGACACACTCAGAGGCAAAGGTGGAGCGCTTCCCTGATGAACTAGAAGTCAGCCTCCCGTAATGGGTTTTGCTCAGGAGGTATATGCTCTCCTTGATGCTTGCCGTGGCTCCTGGGATGAGGCTGTGCTTGTAGTCAGATCTATTTTAACAATAACTTTTTATTGCCATAGTTACGGCTAACACTGACATAGTGATTGAGTGGGACAGAAGAGCAATTAAAATTATAGAATACTTTAACCTTGGCATTTTGATAATGAGGACACTCAACATGAAATACCATTTGATCCACATAAAATTAGACTAGGCAGATAAAATGATGGCATAAAGCTAACAATACCAAAGGCACAAGTAATTAAGTCAGTTTTCTTCTTTCTTTAACTAAAAACGGTGCCATAAATCTTCCTTCAATATTCAAGTGCAGAAACAAGGTCAAAATATTGTAAAGTTGAGACAGCTATAAAATATCAGTATCAAAATAAGATCAATAGCCAATATCTAAGATGAGATCTTTGTACAAAGCTAGTATAGTTAATCTTGTGATTGCTGATATTTAGGTACTAGTGGACTAAAATTAAATAGAGTGTAATTAAAGAAAAAAGCAATGTTAAACTACTCGCATTTGCATTGTAAAAATTTAAATAGCAGTTGGCCATTTGCTTTGTTTTCATCCTGACTTCAGGAGTCTTCTGATGGTCCAAGGAAAATAGACTCCAGTCAGACAGAAGCTGCTTCTAAGCAAAGAACCAAGAACCTGTGGTGGTCATCCACATGACGCCAGGACCTTGATCTGTTACAGGCTGTGGTGGTCACATGACGCCAGGGCCTTGACCTGTTACAGGCTGTGGTGGTCATCCATGTGACACCAGGGCCTTGACCTGTTACAGGCTGTGGTGGTCACATGACGCCAGGACCTTGACCTGTTACAGGCTGTGGTAGTCACACGACGCCAGGACCTTGCTCTGTTACAGGCTGTGGTGGTCACATGACGCCAGGATCTTGACCTGTTACAGGCTGTGGTGGTCATGTGCTACCAGGGCCTCGACCTGGTGCAGAGGAGCTGGTGAGACTTGGCATTTCAGAGACGACAGAGGAGAACAAACACGAGTTTTGGTGGACATTGGGGTGGACAAACAAGTCTAGATCAAGAAACAGAATCTGGGTTGGGAGGTAAATTTAGGAATTAATATTAAGCACATGGTTGCATAAAACCATGGGACCAAATGGAGTTACCTAGGAAGAAAAAGGAATATATCCTGAGCTCACTCAGTACCTCAGTCTCTACATGTGAGAGAGCACACAGAAGAGGAGACATCAGAGAAAAGAGAAAAGCCAGAGGCGTGATATTCGAGAAACTGAGGAAATACACTTCTTAAGGACTGGCTGACTATGTTAATGCGCCTAAGGCTAAATGAGAAAGAAAATTCTGGAATAGTGAAGCAATGCAGAGACCTGCTCTCTGAAGGGATCACACAGCACACACATCACACAAGATAAAGAGTGGTTTGGAGGGAAGGAGAAGTCAGGCCATGAAGCAACCTGGGTAAGAAACGGGGTAATACTGGGATGCACACGTGGTTCTGGGGGCTGGTGTCCTTTCATTAACAGACAATGGTGGGATGTTTCTGTCGAGACCGTGATGGGAACCGGTGTAGGTACCAGCCTTAGGATGAAAGCCATCCTCCCCTTTAGGAGGGTAACTGGAACGTGAGGGTACATATCTGCAATCTTTGTGTTTGGGAAGTAGTGGCAGAAGGATCAGGAGTTCAAGGCAAACCTTTTCTATATCATGAGTTCAAGGCCAGACTGGGCTACGTGAGAACCTATGGAAGAAAAAAAAGAAAACGAAGAAAGAAAGATTGATTGATTTTAAAAGTGACCATGAGGGCTCCCAGGGAGTCCCTGGCAGCCCAAGTCTGTTGAAAATGTTTCTATTGGTTAAGCTCAAGTGACAGGGGCTCAATACTCTGATTTACCTAAATTTACTCACATTGTTAATACATGGAAGCTTTATTTAACATCATGGTTCTAAGAAGAAGTACAAATATTGAAGGAACAGTTCAGAAAGAAAAGACAAATGGCAATCGGAGTCATGCTGTGCAGGCACACACCCTCACTTCTGGGCTTCATGCACTCAGGATCTGTTTCCCCAGCAACAGACGTGTTCCTAGGAGCTGAGAATGTGCTGTGAAGATGGGGCTGCTTGTGCACGCCTGGGAGAAGGGAGCCAAAGCTCCAGGGAAGCAGCCCTGCTGGCCTCTCCCTGACTCCTGCCTATCCCAGAGAACCCTCACTCAGGCCCTCTCTCCTTAGACTATTCTATAAGCACAACAGAGTGCTTATTTGTCCTTGATTCATTCATCTCAAAACCCTTGTCAGAAAGATGAGGATTTTATTATAGACATAATTGCTTTCTCCTAATTGAGAGGTTAAGATTTATGAATGAAAGCAAACCTCCAATCATTACTGAATAGTAAAACATTTTGGCTCATGGCACATTTTAAGTTAGAGCAATTTGCCGGCTTCTGATGACAAAATTGGCGTCAACCTTTCTCATGCTATCATCCTTCATCTTCTTATCCCACCGTGAAAGTCTGAAAATTTACAAAATAGCCTTCACGTGTTTTGATTACCAACTTACAGAATCATAGGGGACCAAACTAAAAAATTTAAGAAAAGAAAACTTGAAACTATAAATAATATTTAAGTGTATAGAATCTCAATAGATGAAGTGCACAAAATACAATAAAGATTATTTGATAACAGAGACAAAGATGCATATATAGTCATACTTTAGAATTGTATTGATTTTAACAGACAATAATTGCATGTGTTTCTGAAGTACAATGCTAAGTTTTGGTTCATTAATAAATTATGAAAACTAAGTCAAGTTAATTAACACATTTATTACCTCACCATAGTGAATACATTTAACATTTCCAGATTGCTGATAGAATAAAATTTAACATTATCACCCCATACCCAATCGTCTAGCTAAGAATTCAGGGTCTATGCAGTGTGGGAAGGCACGACAAGTCCCATTTATATATCTCGGGGCAGTGAAAGTGTTTGAGGGAGAAACATTCCTGAATTCAAAGCCACTCAGGCTTTCGTTGGCTCATTAACCTCTGAGAATCTCGTGAGGATGGGGATTCTGATGCAGTTAGTCCGGGACAGGGCTTGAGAGCTGTATTCACTAACGCTTGGGGCTGTCCCAGCTGCTAATATCCTACCGCACTTTGAGCACCAAGATCCAGATCTCTGTGGACAATTATGATGAAAGCCAACTGTAACACAAGGAAGACTCCTAGCATCTTCAAAGTCTGGTGGTGGAGACCATCACTGGAAAGAGTTTAACAAGACTCCTGCATGCCAGCGTCCTAAACTAGAATGGAAAAATGCAAGATGGGGTGGGGTGGGAGCGTAGACAAGCACACAACCAAGGTTGCCACAGGATCATCTGCCTGATAGAAGCATTTGCAATTCCACAAAGAGAGACTCGCTGCAGGAAGAACTCAGAACAGGATTGCTTCCCCCAAATGAACACTAAGTTATCTACAGATTTAAAAAAAAAAAAGTACACGTTTATTACTGTCACGAAGGAATCTTATACTAACTCAGTGCTCAAACTGACTCACCAAAGTCCTGATCATCAAAGGTACTTTCTGATGATTCTAGGAAAAAGCACAGAGAGTAAACAAATATTTACATGTGGAGTTTAATGACTGGAACTCTACACCACCCCTCCTGCCCTAGGAAGCCCAGGCCCTGGGCGTTCACACACACCATAACAAAAGGTCAGCGGGTGCTGATCCAATACAGCTGTCCTTCAGCATCCTCGGAGACTGTTTCCAATATTCCATCAGTACCAAATCTGTGCTCTTAGGTCTCCCAGGAAATGGTATAATACTTGCATATATTTCTCCCCTATACATACATAATCATCTAGAGTACTTACAATACCAGTGAAGTATCAAGTAAATAACAGTGTAAACACTACATAAATAGCTATTGTATCATATGACATAGATTTCTAAAGACTCATTTTTTAATTATGTGTAAACATATGTGCACATGGGTTCAAGGACCTGCAGAGGCTCTGCCTGAAGCTCGAGTTACCCACATCTGACATGGTTGCTTGGAATCGAACTCCAGTCCTCCAGAGGAGCAGCGGTTCTGCTAACGGCTGCTCCATGGTTATGGAGAGAGCGATACCCACAAGCATGGTCGGTCTAACTACACAGTGCACGGCAGCAACACCTTAGGACCCTGCTAAGGGTGGGGGATGACCTCATTAATCCCCAGATAGGTGACCTTCAGTCTTAAGTTACCAAATACATGGAGATGGGAGAGTAGGAGAAGGTTTGAAAAGAGTAGGGAAATGTAATCATGAACTCTCTCAATTTCATCATGCCTTGTCCATCATAAATGATTTGCACAGACTCCAAAACCGGATCACATGTGTACTAAAATTTATCACCAGAAAATGAGGTCTTTCATTTTTCACTTGTTACTCTTTGAACCTCATAAGATTCATGAGACATGAAAAAAATCTGCATTAAGTCCTTTAATTACACACAGAATAGGCAGTGGGGGAAGGGTGACATGCCTGAAACCCAGCGGTGCCATTTTAACCCCACTAAAGCTGCCTTCAGCTTGAGGAGAACCTCCCCGAGGATGAAGGTAAACTGTGCGCTGACAGGTACAAACTTTGGTTGTGAGGGGTAGGTGCTGCATGTCTGTGGGGAATAGCAGCAGAGTTCTAACCCCTCGGCCTCACCGACATTAGATGATGGTATTACCTCTTCCAGTGAACACCTGTCTGGTGCCTCCGCTCGCTTGCCAGTTTGTTAAAGTGATTGAGACGCATAGAAGCTGGAGAACTTACTGCTGCTTCCTTAAACCAGCATGCCTGTTCCCTGCGTCCTAGTTAGATATCCTTAGAGTCCACAGGCAAGTGTAGCTCTCACCCCTCACCAAAGTAGCTTCTTTCTGCAGCAAATGGAGCCATTACCAAAAGTCACAACTTGTCAATGCAGAGAACAGCTGAAGGTGGGGTGTCCAAGCCTGACTGGTTCATCTGCACACAACCCCCGCACAGGAGGTTCAGAGAATGTAAGAGAGGGCAGAAACATTGGAAGTGCCGGAGGACCAAGACATGGCAGAATTCTGTCTTCTATAGAGGACAGAGAAGCTGTACCTATGAAATCTTAACAAACAAAACACCACCAGACATGCCAACAAATGTGGGGGCAATCTCACAATCCCCAGCCCTAGATGAAGAGCTACAGGAATTAACAATTACTCGGGGAGGGAGACGCAGTCTTCCCCAAGGATGAGCCTGCTGATTGGTTATCCAGTATCAAGTGGTCAACCCTAAAACATACACACAAGCAGTATTAAATGGAATCAACGGGCTGTATTTATACACTTATATGTATAGAAGCATGAAAAACAGTAACGAAAGAAGAGAGGGAGCAGAGAGAATGAGGGTAAAGTTGGGTGAATAGGGAAGCTGAGATCTGGGAGGAATTGGGGTGGAGACAAATATCAAAATACAATTATGAAACTGTCAAATAATTTTTAAAAAGAGTTTCCTCTATTAAGCTGCTGTTCTTGGCGCTGACGCTTCTCGTCAAACTGACTCACAGGAACCTATCGCTGAGGGCCCAAGTCAGGATGAAGACTCCAGGGTGGGACTGGGAGACGGCTCAGTGGGAATGTGCTCACCTTGCAAGCAAGATTAAACAACCCAGGTCTAATCCTTAGAACCCATATGAAAAGACCAGGTGTAGTAATGTGCATCTTTAATCCTAGAGTGGGAAGGCAGAGGCAGAGCTTGCTGGCAGCCATTCTCTCCAAATCTGTCCATTCCTGGCAAGTAAGAAACCCTGTGCCCAGAAAGAGAGGATGATATCTAAAGAACAAGAGTTACGCTCTGGCCTTCACATACATGCACATACACATGCATTCATACCTGTACACACATGCAAAAGATTCCAGGAATTTAGGCATGGTGATGCATGGAACCGTCAGAAGGAAAGATGCAAGTCACCAGCCAGAACCTTGCCAGTAGGCCACGAGCCTGGTGGTAAAACATGAAATAATAGAAATGAGTTGATTTGAGATGTAAGAGCTAGCTAGAAATACACTTAAGTTATTGATCAAACAATATTGCAATTAATATAGTTTCTGAGTGATTATTTCAGGTCTGGGCAGCCAGGAACAAAATAATACCTCCTACTACATACGGATAACCAATAAAGCCACTGGCATGTAGCGGCATCAAACTATAAACACAGAGATTAGTCACAGATCTTATGAACACCCCCCCCCCATCACAACCTTGAAGACTAATAGCAGTTGGCTCACATCTACTGTGATGGGAGGCATACGGATTCAAATGATTCTTACATACCATGTGGAAAACTGAATAAAAGTGCCAATATGTAAGTACAAGGCTGATGCTCAAGACACAGAAAAAAATGTCCAGCTCCTTTACAAAAGACATTAAGACATCTGTTTCTGATGTGTTAATGTCTCCATTGCCTTTAATGGAGGCAATGTCCTAAACGTGATTATATAATATGTCGAAATCTATTAAAAAGTCCAAGGCCAAAACCACTGTCTATCAAACACTTGGCATCAAATGCCCTCACACAGTGATAACATTAAGCCTCTGCTCTTCGCTCCCTCCTCCAGTCTTTCCCAGAGTCCTCAGCTGTATGGACTAGTAAATCCCACCCACATGCTCTGTTCCATGTAGAGTCAATGCTTGGCATGACAGACAGACTCCTCAGTCCCAGTCAGTTCAATGCACATGTCCTGGCGGGAGCTTCCTTGCAGCTATTGCAGGCAATTCACGGCTCAGTCACTCAATTCTGTCCACATGTTGTACGTTTCCCCATCTTACACAGGAGAAGAGAGGCTCAGCACGGGGAATACCTGCCCACAGATGTGCAACACTGGTGAGAAAGGAAGCCAGACAAAGAGGCTAGCAGGACACGGCCCTGCACAGCCCAGGTGGACACTGCACCAAACCTTCCACTTCCTCATGGCAAGTTTTGGAAAATTAATAAACTAAATACATAGATCATATTTCATTTTTTGCACACTCATACTTTGGTTGAACCACTACTTTTTTGAAAAGCTTACATCTTTCCCAAAGGTTTTCATGAGAATGTTCATACCATCTGCAAGCTGTTTGTGTACACATCACGGATCAAGTTGTTCTGAATCTCAATCAGCTGAGAAGATGGAAAGCGAGAGAGAAGTGAGTGCCTAGACGGGTGAGTGCTCCATAGATGGGTGAGTGCTCCATAGAGGGGTGGGTGCTCCATAGAGGGGTGGGTGCTCCATAGAGGGGTGGGTGCTCCACTTGTATTTAGCTCTAGGCACCGTACATTTAACGTGAAGTCTCAAGGGACACCCACTTTTTATCCGTTCTTCCTTGGGAGGTACGGGGTGGGGGTGAGGCCTGGTTGGAGATCGAGATAAAAGTCACTGGTGGGGGAAGCAACAAGGCATGGGGCATGATGGGAAATGGATGTGAGAGTCATTTCCTGTCTTGTCCTTCTGGGATCAATCTCCTACATGCAAGCTCAGCAACCCTGGAGATGGATTAGCCAGGTTCTGTTTTTCCATAAGTGAAGTAATAGAGTTAGAGTGTACAGCTCTGGGGCTAGGGAGAAAACCAGTAAAGTACATGCCTTGCAGGCACAAGGGTCTGGACTTGGCTCTCATAACCAAGTCCAAGAAAAGCTGGACACAGGCTGAAGCAATTGCTCGGTGGTTAAAAGCAGAGGTTACTCTTCCAGAGGACCCTGGTTCAATTCCCAGCACCCACAAGGTGGCTCAGAATCATCTGAAACCCCAGGCCAGAGGACTTGATGTCCTCTTCTAGCCTCCATGAACACTATGAACAAACATGTAGGCAAAACACCCAACAAATAACATATAAATAACATATAAATCTTTAAAAGGAAAGGCAAGGAATGGGAGATGGCTTACTGGGTAAAGGACTCAGTGTGCATGTGTGGGGAGTGGAGTTCAGGTCTCCAGACTCCAGGCAAAAGTCAGTTGGGTGTGGTGGCCCAAACTTAACCCCAACAGCCAGGAGGTAGAGCAAGAGAGTCCCCAGAGCAAAGAGGCCAGACCAGCTGAGAAAAAGGGGTTGCCCAGAGGGATTTTCCTCAGTATAAAAAGTGAAGTGTCATAGAGGCAGATACTTTAGGCCTCTATATGTGCATGTGTGTGCGCACACCCCCTACACACATGCACGGTACCCGCTGCATGTGAACTCTCTCTCACACATGCACACACTGTACCCGCTGCATGTGAACTCATATCTCTCTCTCACATACACAAAACACACATACTGTAGAAGGAGCGGTGGGCCGCGTCCAGCCGCCTGCCTCCCAGCTATCTTTACCCCTGAAATAATTACACGGAAACTGTATTCTTTTAAACACTGTTTGGCCCATTAGTTTCAGCCTCTTATTGGCTAACTCTCACATCTTGATTAACCCATTTCTAATGATCTGTGTAGCACCACGAGGTGGTGGCTTACCGGGAGGATTCTAACCTGCGGCTGTCTCGGAGAGGAGAGTCATGGCGACTGCCTGCCTCTGCTTTCTTTCTCCCACAATTCTGTTCTGTCTACTCCACCCACCTA